ATGTTTCTGGCTCTTTTACAATTTTCCCTTTCCCTCAGGTTTCACCAGGTTTGGTTTCCAGGCAATCAGTGCTTGTTAAGTATTCCACCGAGCATGATATTGCTCTCCTGCCTTTCTGTTCTGAAGCCCAGCTGCAGTAATTTGCTGAACTCAGCTCTTGCAGAGAGGTTTTATTTTATTTTATTTTTTTAAAGGAGGAAAAAAATAACAAACCTATTAATAATAATAATTAAAAAATCCTTGACAGGTAGGAACAGTACATCTATATCACCGTGTGTGCATCCTGTGGGGAGGAGGGGAAATCCAGCTGCTTTGGCAAATACATGATGACAGTGCTGGCTCATGGTGTTTAGAAAATCTACTCAGAACAAGCCTCAATAACATGATATTTAAAAGGACAGTGTCCATAGGAACTTTTGCTATGTATGCTGTCTTTGGAGGAGATGTACTTGTGCCAGTGCCCCAAGGGGTGATAGCAAGGGAAGATTTTCCCCAAATATCCAAATTCCCAGTAGTGTTCTCAGGTGGTGTGAGCCAGCAGCATTTTGTTGATAGCAGTGCCACTCCCCTGGATTGATACCAATCAAAGATCTGGCTGGATAAGACAGAGATGAATTCTGCTGTCTCTTCCTCTGGTGTGAATCCAAAATAGCTCTATTGAAATGGGAGGAGTCACTCTGGTTTTGCATGTTGTTTTCTGAGCATGTAAGCCAAATGTACACCCGTGCCACGGAGAGCAGAATGTTGCTCATTGTGTACAGCTTCAAAGCCAGCTCTTATGAGAAGCTTAGCACTCCAGCTGCCATTAATTTCAGTGCAAGGACACTCAGGTCACCACAGAATCAGTCCCTCCATCCTGGGGCAAGTTGGAGGAAGGCTTGGCTCCACTGATAGCATTGTGCCACCCAGGAATGAGTACACTTATGCTGAGACCACTTGAATGATGTGGGTTGAATGTTTACCTTGAATGTTATTAAAGTAGAAGAGGCTTCAACAAAGGAGTAGAGAGGAGAGGGAGAGATAAAGGTCTAGTGAAAAAATAGCATGGAAACAGAGCAGAATGGAACACAGAGACAAGAAATAACAGGAGGAGTATGAGAAAGGCAGGAGGCATGGGGGAAGAGAGAAATTTTTAATGACAGTCAAACACAGTGAGCCTCATTCTTCTCTCAGGGAGGTTGGCATCATTCTGCTGGCTTCAGTGGAATTGATCCTGGCTTACACCTGGGTAACTGAGTTCAGCATTTGATGTGGTATAGGCTAGGGACAGACATTACACGTAAACCAGTTGAAGTGATCAGAAACTGGTTTAAACCTGTAACAGAACAGATGTTCAGTGCACATAAATCAGCTTGAAAATGGCTGAAACTGGTTTGCGATAAATGTGGTTGAATATAGAATCAGACTTAACTGATTTGGCTCAAACCGATTTATGCAATGTCTGTCCTAGACCCCTTGCTGTTTTAAGTTAAACCAGACTCCCCCAGCATCCCGGCATACTCTCTGGGCTGGGTGGGGCTCTCTGCTTCACAGCAGAGCTGGCCCCTCCCCTCTGCTCTTGCAGCTTGGCAGAAACTTGTAGGCATAGCAGGGTCTGCTGGCTTCCCTGTGTCCCCCCTCCTCACCACTGGCTGCTTAAGCAGAGATCCCTTCCTCTCTCCCACAGCACAGACCATAGCCAGTAGGGCTGTGCAAAACAGCACCATTTCGTTTCAACTTCTGTTTCACCATTTTGAAGGGACAGTGTTTTGTTTCACTGTTTCAAAGCACTGTTCTGTTTTGTTTCGCTGAAACTTTTGCTGTTTCGTTGCGTTTTAACGTTTCGCCCATAGGCTATAATGGGGAATCACAAAAATGCCTATAACCTTGTTATTCTTTGCCTGATGATGAAAATTGCAGGAACGGTAGCCCCTTCTGAGGGCATGAAGCATGCCAACTTTCCAGGACATAGGTGTAGGGGTTTCTGGGAAACTGCACCTCAAACTGTTCAAAGCAAAACTCATATCACTAGGCAGCAACAGCAGCCTGCTGTCATCCTGCATGCAGATCTGGGGGTCCGCACCCCACAGTAGGAGTTCAGCATAGCTCTGCAGCCCTCCTGGGGAGTACGGGCCTCCAGATCTGCATGCAGGATGACAGCAGGCTGCCACTGCTGGCTGAGGCCAGTGCCAGCACCTGAGTGTCCCTGGTGCAGCTTGCACCAAGCACTGGGCAGACTCGGGTGCTGGCACTGGTCCGAGCTAGCAGTGGCAGTGTGCTGTCATCCCCCATGCAGATCTGGGGGCTCATGCCCCCCAAGAGGAGTCTGGCAAAGCCTGGCAGCCCTCCTGGGGGATGTGGGCAGCCCTCCTGGGGGATGTGGGATCTGCATGCGGGGTTTCAGCAGGCTGCTGCTACCGGCTGGGGAAATAGCCCAGTACTGACGCCATCCCCATCATCCCGCATCAGCCAGGGGCCTGCGCCCCCTGGGAAGAGCTGGGGGAAGTGATCAGAGAGCTGGGGAAAAGATTGGGGAGCTGGGGAATCCAACCAGGAACTGGGGGGAATGTTTAAGGACCTGAACATTCCCCCAGCCCCCTGTTTGATTATCCCAGCTCTCTGATCATTTCCCCAGCTCTTCCTGCGTGCCCTCTGGAGAGAGCTGGGGAACTGAACCAGGAGCTAGATGTCAATATCAGAGCAGTCTTTCCCCCCTATTCCTCCTCCCTCTCCTTAGTTTCTGTTAGCTGCAAGCAAGCCCAACTAGTTGTAATTTCGCACATCCTTAGTAACTAGCATGTGATATGCTAGCTAATAGATAATGCTGTGTAAGGCAGATAGGGCAGAATCTGCTTAGGGCTTTTTGAAGGTAATCAACAGGTCAGCTGGTAATATCACTGCTTTCCTTCCTTTGCATAAAGCTGCTTAAAAAGAGCTTGAACTAATGAGTGATGCTTTGTTTTCTGATGGGGTGTTAAATGCAGATGACAGCTGATAAATTCTCTGTTATCAAGGGGGAGGAACCCCTCCCTAATCACAGCGTCCTGCCAGGACCTGGCCACTCAGCTCTCTGCAGATGGGAAGGGAGGGCTGCTTTAGCACCCCCTGGCTTCTAACCTGAGCCACTGCAGGCATGTGTGCCTGCATTTCTGGGATGTCTGTCTGGTTACAAAACTGATTTAGCTTAGCTAGGTTAGACTAACTTGCAAAGATTGAATTAAGTCAGGCTCAGGCATTTTGAATGTCTGTCCCTAGCCATAGGGATCAGGAAGTGCTGGTTGAGAATTTTTCAGCAAGAGTTTTGCATTAAAAATGGCAAAACACAGGCAGGGCATCTTCCAAAATGGGTCTAGTTTATTATCAGCTCAGCAGGCTGGTTGCTGGGTACACTGGATCCCAGGGTTAGTGACTCTGGTTCGACTCTGTCATGCAGATGGCCCAAGAGTCAAAGACCCCAGGGCTTCCAGCCCCCTCACTGTAAAGTCAAGTTTCTAGGCTTGAGCTGGGTTTCTCAGGGCTTTCAGGCCTCCTGCTGTCAAGCTGGCACTCCTGAAATGTCTCAGGATTCCCATGCTCCCTGCCATGCAGTGTGGAGCCCTGGCATGTTTGCTCTAAAGTGCTGAGACACCCAGCTCATTTGTGGACAAGGTTCTTTGGGTAAATCTGATATATTTTATTTGACCAACTCAAATAGTAAGTAAGTAAATAAATAAATAAATAGGTATAATAAAAGATACCAGATTTACCCAAAGAGCCTTGTCTGTCTATGTCCTTAGACCAACACAGCTATAACCTATACCCCAACTCATCTGTGGCTTTTACCTTATAGCAGGGCTATCCAACTGGCAGCCAGTGGGCTGCATGCAGCCTGCAAGGGGTCAAGTTGCAGCCCCCAGGCTCTTACCTGGCCACCACTCCCCACATCACTCTGTGCTAGTTACTGTAATCACCTATCCCAGCACATTGCCAATGACCTGCCCCCTGTACAATAGACCCACTGTGTCCCCCAGAAAAGGCAGACCTTTCAGCACCAGAATCACAAACAGCTAGCAAAGGGGAGTGACTCTTGTATTGTCTCATAGTAAAAGGCTTCTATTTTTTACATGCGTACATCACTAGAAGAAGGCATGATGTCTTACGATTAGCCAGCGCATTACAGTAATGCCCTCATACCCCACAAAGGTACATATTTACACTAGCAATCATCCCACCAGTGCTTATACCAGGTCTGACTACGCTCTGTAGGCATGTTTTGCCACTTAGTAATTCTCTTGACTTCACTGATTTATGGCAGGGTAAGCAAGCAGAGAGTCAGGACCAGCATTTCTAGTAGCAAAAAAAAAAAGTTGGTGCTATAATTAAGGGTAGATTGTAGCTTTCAGCCACCTTTCACTATAACTTTCCTCCTGGAGGGGACTTTAAACCATCACCTCCAGCTTCTCTCTTTTATTAAACAGGCAGCATACAAACCTGTTGTTATCCTCTCTGCAGCCCTGGAAACGCAATCAGCCCACAAAGAAAATCAAGCGTTGTCCTCCCCTGCCTGTGAGGTTTGTAAAGATGGGTTTTCAGCTGGGTAATTTTGCTCTGTGTTGGTCCTGCTGTCAGTAACTTATCATTAGCTCAAGGGGAGGGGAGAGGGATGTGAAATTTAGCTTGCCACATTCGTATTTCTAAACATTCGTTTTCCTCCTCTTCACTCATTGGACCTGTACCTGTTTGCCTTGTGATTTACAGCAAATCTTTTCCCAGGTTTTGCAGGATCTGGTCTGAGTAGGGAATTGGGGCCTTGCTCTTTGAATGTAATTCACAAAGTAGTTCTGTTGACAGGGAGCTGATGCCTGGAAACCGTTCCTCTTTGTGGCTTTGCTGCGTGTTGTGTTGTTCACCTCCGTAATGGAAACCGTATCTGATCTTTTGGCTCCGTGGGCAGCCCCTCTCAAAGACTGGCCCCCTCACCCTCATGTCCTGGTTTGTTTAGATGCCTGGATAGTCATGGATTTTCTCTCTTCTTTCCTTAGTGTTTTAAACCGTACCCCTGTGCACCTGGTCCATGAAATCATATTGGTAGATGACTTCAGTGATGATCGTAAGTGATTCTCTTTTAAATTGAAAACAAGGGCTCAGACCGTACCTACCAAGGGGGAGTTGTGCTGAGTTGGGACTTACCAGAGTGGGGAACCAAGGTAAATGACAGAATCATTGAAGTCCAAAAGTGATGAGGATTAAACCATGTTATTCAGTGTTGCTATGGGTCAGGACTAGGGAATCCTAGGCATGGGATCCAGGGCCCAAGCCCAGAGGCAGATACTTAAAACTTGAAGAATTGTGTAAATCTGATCTTTCCATTTATTTTGTTCATTTCATTTTTACACAGTTACTCAGAATAGACAGTACAGGTAGGCTGATGAGTTTGATATTCAGTTTGATATTCAGCCAGTTTCACTTTACGGTCCATGCGCTGAAGGGCTAGTTGGTTTGCTAAACAGATTCCTTAGAGAGGCTTTGGAATCCCTGTCACTGGAAGTTTTTAAGTGAAGGTTACACAAACACTTGTCTGGAATGGTTTGGTCAGGGATTATTCTGCCTCGAGCCAAAGGGTAGGGATAAATGATCTCTTGAAACAATTGATCTTTTGAACAAATTAAGATTCCCACACAGAGTGTATAACAGAGCTAGGAGGAAATGATTTTCATGTCCCATGAGACGTGTCAAGGTTTTGAACATTTTTCCTGTCCTGCAATGAATTGCAGTGAATTTTTGTAAACAGAACATCCAAAAAACTTTGGATCAAGTGATTGTTGCTTGTTGTTTTGACCATTTGAAATATTTTCTTTAGATTTTGACCTTAAAAATATTTTCGTTATAAATTAACTTCATTTTGAAACAAAAAGCCATTCTAGCCAGAAAGAAAAATAGTTTTAGGACTGTTGGACGATTGGACTCTTTTGAAACTTTTTTCCCATTTCTCTTTTGTAAGTAGGAAATCCATTAAAACTGCTTCTTTCCGATGAAAAAAGAAGTGATATCAGACTTGCCCAACTACATCTAATTTCTTACCCCTCCATCACAGCCTTATGCAGGTACAAGAGACCCTAAGGGGGAAAAGATCTAAAGCACACAGTG